GCTTTTCACATAGTAGCATCTTAAAGGTGCTTCTCCGTCTCTGACAGGAGCAAACAATTCCAGCATAGTGCTGTGAACACAAGATGTGTATAATGAAAGAGGTCCCATCTATCCCTCATCTGTTGACACAGATAGTATGATGGTGATGGTTGAAGATTCACTTAAGATGATGGTGGTAGAGAAGAGCCATTCGACTAGAACAAGATTATTGTTCAAACTTTTCCCAGTCAGGGAATAGGGTGCCTCCGAGATTGGGAAATCAAGCGTTTAGTCAGCTAAGGGTTAGTATTAGTGATGAATTTACAGGTTATGAAAACACGGTGGCACGTGGCTGAAACAGGTTCAGCAAAGTGAAGAATAGGTCTGCTTTTTACCTCTCTACTCCCAGTCAGCAGTATAGTTAAAGGAGGGAGATGTGAGAGGGCAGTTACATATAAACATCATCCTAGCGTACTGCATTGGTTGTGTTTTTCAACTATGCCAGATATTTAGCACACCCTATCTCTAATTCCCTTTATAACTATAGGAAGTAGGTATTAGTTCTATTTTACAGATGAGGAAATAAGCTCAGAAAGGATAATTTACTTACTGACATTTATACTGAGTAGCAGAGCCAGGATTTGAACCTAGGTCTGTCTGGCCATAAAGCTTTTGCACTTTCTACTATGCATACTATCCTGACTCTTCTATAGGTCTGTCTGGCCATAAAAGCTTTTGCACTTTCTACTATGCATACTATCCTGCCTCTTCTAAGTCAATGATAGTAGTCCAAGCCTCAGGGAAACAGATGTTGCTTAAGAATACTAGTTGGTTTTGTGTGGGCAGGGTGTCCTGTGGTTCTTTCTTTAAAAAAAAAAAAGATTTTATTTACTTATTTTTAGAGGGAGGGAAAGGGAGGGAGAAAGAAAGGGAAAGAAATTCAATGTGTGGTTGCCTCTTGCACACCCCCAACTGGGGACCTGGCCCACATCCCAGGCATGTGTCCTGACTGGAAATTGAACCAGCGACCCTTTGTTTCACCGGCCAGCATTTAGTCTACCGTGCCACTTTCTTTTGCTCATCAATTTATTCAACAAATATGTATTTATTATAACCAGAAAGTAGGGAGAGGAGTGAAGGTCAGGTAGGTTGAGGTGGGGTGGGACACGTGTGTCGGAGGAGAAGGGCAAGGGGACATGGGAAGGTTGAGGCTAGAGTAAATATTGAGAAAAAAGGGCCATCACGAGCTTGAACACGGGATGGGGGCTGATTTGGTGAGTCTTACATACAGTACAGAACGAGTATCTGGGGGTTTGCAGAAGAGCTATCTGGAGCAACACTAGCTGGCAAGCTGCGACCCAGTGGCAGCACTCGGAATCTGAGACCATTCAAACAGCTCTTTGCACATATACATCAACAAATACACACTCACACAGGAACCATCAATATGGAAACAAGTATTTTTTTAACAGGCTTAATTAACTTTATTTTCTTGTATAAAATTATGTGGTGGCCACAGCTGGAGCCTGAGTCCTCTGCCCAGATACTCTGGGGTGGGTCTTTACAAGATGGTCAGTGAATTACTGATAGGGACACTTGGTGAACACGGTCTCTTTCCAGAGGTCAGGGGTGAGACAGCTGTATATCTTAGAGGTGGCATTGAAGGTGGCGTTGGTGAAGTTGGCCAGGGTGGCAGTGCAGTCTCTGGCTGAAGTGTAGCAGTTGTTGATACTGGCCATCATCAGTAGATTCTTGGGCACAAAGGCTGAACTGATGCCAGTGCCCCTTAGGATGAGGACTAGGTGCACAAGCACAGAGACATAGTGGCCAGCCACCTTGCAAGGAACTGCAAGGGACAGTGTGGGGCTTGCCCATCTTGTTCCCTCAGTAGCCTCGCCACACAGGGACAATAGAGAGTTTGGTCAGGATAATGGCCCCATGGATGACAGTGGTTAGTACCTTGGAGCATTTAATATCCAGACTTGCAGGTCTATTGTAGTCCCCAATGACGACAAGTGCCTTGAACCAGGTCCCCTGGCCAGCGCGAGTCTGCTTTTACGCTAGCATAATCTTCAACACCTTGTCCTTGAGGGGTGGCCCTAGGAAAAAGTCAATGATCTCTGATTCCTTAATGGGCATGGAGAAGATATAGGTCTTCTCCAGGGACTTGATCTTCATATCCTTGACCAGGTGGTCCAGTTTGGTGACAGGGTTATACTCCTTGTCTTTGGTCTTGTCTTGTGAACTCATTAGCCTGGGTCCTGGGTCCCCACCTCACCAGCTGTGACCTGAGGCCCAGATGCCACCACTAAATATTTCACAGAAGGCCCTTAGCTTCCTATCTGAGGGCCCTGGGTCCTCCCAGCCCTCCTGCAACACCAGCATCATTGGCCAATTGGTGTTTCCTGGGAGAAGAAGCTGGGGACAGGCATTTGTTTGTTTGTTTGTTTATTTATTCATTTAATTTATATTGTTGTGCTATTACAGTTGTCCCCATTTTCCCCCGTTGCTCTTCCCTGTCCCCCCTCCCCCACTCCCACAGGCAATCCCCACCTTGTTGTCCATGTCCATGGGTCATTTATACCTGTTCCTTGACTGGACCCTTTCCCTTCTTTCCTCCTTTATCCTCCTCCCCCTCCCTTCTGGCCACTGTCAGTATGTTTCTTGTTTCCATGCCTCTGGTTCTAGTTTGTTTGTTTTGTTCATTAGGTTCCTCATAGGTGAGATCATACGTATTTGTCTTTCACCAGGAGACAGGGATTTTTAAACAAGCGCACTAGAATGTATGCCATCACATACTGGAAGCCTGTACCTTTATTACAGTGCTATATCTACTGCTTACCACATGACTGTACCCCCCTTGAAAGGAGCCAATGCTGATTTAGGTGCATAAATAATGGAGGCTTGTTGAAAAGATAAAAGTCTAGAAAAGAAACAATGTCAGTTTATAGTCATAGTTTAGTTGTGTGTGTATTAAGAGTTTCAGGATTCTATAAAATGATGTAATTACATAGAAGGAAGTACTATGGGATGCTTGCCCACATATATATTTTTTATTTTTCTTTTAGTAGTGAACACAAATAACAGATTGTGTTAAAATAAGCCTGACCTACACAGCCACTTAATCCCATTGGGAATGTGCCCCAGAACAGGGAGGGGCAGAGCTTAGGAATGTGTTGCCATGACACATTGATTCCAAGACTCCCCAGGTTCTACCTGCATCTGATATATAGACAAAGTATGTTTGGGTGTTGTGGAGGTTTATTTTTGGCTGCTCTGTAGTCAGAAGGATGGCAGCTGGACTGACCATGGGAGTCTGGAGTACACAGGTTCAGGAATCCAGAGAACTGAAGGGGTGGAGGGAAGTTCCTATCCCTTCCATGCCAAGTATGTACAATATCAGTATCCTCCAGTATTCAAAGGGGGGAGAATTAGAGACAATGATATTGATCATATGGTTTATCACAATAAACTGCTGATTATAATCAGCATGAGTGCTAAGGAAAAATAGAAGCTTTATAAAAACATGCTTTCTCCTAGAAATTAACTGTAACATATTTCTATCATAAGGAAAATACCTAGTGATTTTTAAAAATCTTTACCCGAGGACATTTTTTTCATTGTTTTTAGAGAGAGAGGAAGGGAGAAAGAGAGAGAAACATCAATGTGAGAGAGAAGCATCAATCAGTTGCCTCTTGTATGAGCGTGGACCAGAGATCGAACCCTCAATGTTTCGGTTATGGGATGATGCTACAACCAACTGAGCCACACCAGCAAGGTCCTAGTGATTTTTTAATGCTTTTAAAATTTTCATGGAAGAGTGCCAAGAAAATGGTAAATGTAATTATCATTAAGTAGGTTTTTGTTTCATATCATATGGAGCCTTAATAGCGTAAAGGAGAAATAGTTCTTGACCATGTACGTGGCTCTTCAGCTAACACAAAAACCTGCCTTGGGCCTTTGGCAGTCTCTTCTGTATTACTTGCAAATGCCCTCACTCTAGAGAAACTTTATTCAAGCTCAGGAAAATAGCTGGCAACCTAGACAGTCTCCCCAACAGCATGACAGGTAAGGAGAGGCTACCTTCAGCCCTTTCAAATATTTCCCCTTATATTTATTTATTTAGAACCCCAGAGCCATACTAGTGGAAAGAGACCCAGTGCTTCTTAAAGTCCAGTTGTATAATATCAATGCCATGATTCTAAACTGTTTTCCTTACTCCAGTCTTGAACTTGTAAAGGATGTGACTCACTGGGATCAGTAGCAGTAGCTAATTGTGGAAGTAACTACATAGGAGGGGGGCAGAATCAATATGTTTAGCAGGTGAGGAATCTGCCTGGATTCCGGCTTCCCCCTCCCCATAAACTCTCCGAAGCGAATAGTAATTTCCAACCTTTTTGGCAATCTTTCCTTCGTTACCTACCTGGGTGAATTTATGCCCTGTCAGTAGATTTTCCTTTAACTTCCTCACTGTCAATATTTGTTCTCCGTACTGCAAAATGATTCTATGTTCTTGGGGAGAGTTATCTCTTTCAAGTTCCTTTTTATATTTGTTTGGTTTGTTCCGAAGGAGTAAAATCCCGAGTCGCCTTTGCTTTCGTGCAAGTAGGGCAGGAGAGGCCCAGGGCGGACCCAGCTTGGGTTGAGCACCCGGATCTGTGAGCCAATGCTGCTTCAGCGTCTCGCTGTGTGTTGGGGGGGGGGGCGGGGAGGATGGTCCACAGTCCTCCCTTATCTTATCTTATCTGAACTATCCTTCACCTCCGTCTCTGTGTAATTGTATTGATAGAAGGCGTACTTGACGTACTGGCGATTAGACCCCAAAGAGAGAATAGCGGCGCTTGGCAGGTGGGCACGGAGCCGGGAGATGGGTGGAGGAGTGGGGCGGAGGCACTCTTGAGTGGCGTTCAGAGTAGTCAATGGTAGTTCGGGGCAGGGGTGGTAGGGCGGAGACACTGAGGTTGGTCAGCCAATGGAGGGCGAGCAACTACTGGAACGACCTGGTGACGTGAGGAGCATTCCATTCGGCCAGCAGTGGGCGGTTGCCACAGCTGTTTTAGGGCCCCGATCATAGGGGCTCCTTGTCTGGAGGAGGCAGCCTCCGGGCTGGGGAGGAGAAGTCGCTGCCACCTCGGCCGGCCGGTGCAGTCCCCTGGGAGAATCCACTTCCTGTCGTCCATCCCCGACTGAGTTTGGGCTCCCAGGTTCAGGTAACAAGGAGTGGGGGTTGGGGTCTCCTGGGCTGGGCCGCCTGGTGGGCTGCCAGCGCCTCCGCTGCCTCGGGACGCGCAGACATTGACACTGCCCTGCTCAAGTCGCCAGCAGTGGAGCCCCCACCCGGGGTGACTACACGTGGCGGAGTGTGTGTGAGTGTGTACGAGCGTGTGAGATGGCGCGCGTCCCAAGCTGCCAGGGGCGGTGGTCCGCTGCGTGGCAGAGACAGGGCGGGCCTCCTGAGGCCGCGCCTGCCGCCTGCCCTGGACTCGGGCCTTGGCCCCCAGCGGGTGGGCCGTTCGCTGGTTTTGGATGGATTTTGATCTTTGTTCTCCCAGGCCCGGGTCCCCTTCCTGGTCTCTTCTCCCGCTGGGCCAGGTTATCACGAGATTGTTTTCCAGGTTAGTTTTACACAAAGGAAGTGTTCTTTGCACCTTGGAGCCCCCTCCGCTTTCTGAGGCCCTCCACCTTCTGATTGCTGGACTCATTGCCCAGTCTCTATTTGGACCCTTGCCCTTTCCAACCCGGGAATGATTTCAAGTTGCTTGTTTCTCATCAGTCAGTCGGGTTGCAGACTTCCGCCTCAGTCGTGCCAGCGTGGGGCATGTTGTGTCAGTAAACAGAGACCACAGCACCACACTTGAGAGTATGAGAAGGGTGGCAACGGTTGAGAAAGGGTTGGCCTGAGGATTCAGAATGCTTGGTAGAGATGGTATTTATGAAATGTCCCAGAAAACACCTTTATGACAGTTTTTAACTGCTGTCACCTCCCTGCCTCCAACCCTTTCAGAACCTCTCCTGCTTATTAAGTCAGCCTTCCATCTACAGGTCTGTGATGTGGTTTCATTAAGATTCCCACAAATGTTAGATTAGACTAGCCCAGCAAGACTGGGTCATTTCCCAATCTCAGGAAGTTACCAAGGGTCTGATAAGGGGAAATCTGTTTTTGAGTAAATACAACCTGGATCTGTGTCCAGAGCGTCCAAAACCTCCTAGCCTTCCCAGAGGGTGACTTGTTCCTTGGTGTGATTCATATTTGAGTGGCTAATTGAAGAAAGAAGGTAGAGAAATGGAGGAGGGGAGAGAATGGCTTCTTAAGGACAGAAACTCTACTATTATTTTTAGTCCTCTTAATGATGATTATAGAACAATCTGGTATAGTGGAGAGTGCCCTGGACTGAAAGTCTGCAGACATGTTCCTTTGCTTAGCTTTGTAGTTGTGTGACCCTGGATGAGTTATTTTCTCTCTCCAGTCTTCACTTTACTCATTTCCAACCAATTAATTGGGGTTTTCACCTATTAAAATCCTTCTGGCTCCAAGGTTCTATGATGAACAAATATCAGTATTATATTGGAAGCATGGGGGTTTATTTGTTAAGAAGATACACTAATCACCTTCTTCTTTTTCTACTCCTCCTCCTTCAAAACCTTTAACCTTTTCTCCTTTCATAGGACAAACATAGATTTCAAATATTTTCCCACTTCCCCACTCCCACCCTTTTAGGCTTATCTTCTGCCTCTGGGAAAAGAGGATTGAACTGAATTTTCATATTCCTGCCTTATTTTTTTTCCTTTTTCTTAGGGTTAGAAATTGGACTTTTGATGATGTTTGACCCAGCGGCAGCAATAGCAGGCAACGTGATTTTAAAGCTGGGCTTGACTTCCGTTTCTTCTGTCTTGTAATCACAAAGTGCATTTGGAGCAGGAATTCCAATCATGTCTGTGATGGTGGTAAGAAAGAAGGTGACACGGAAATGGGAGAAACTCCCAGGCAGGAACACCTTCTGCTGCGATGGCCGCGTCATGATGGCCCGGCAAAAAGGCATTTTCTACTTGACCCTCTTCCTCATCCTGGGGACATGTACACTCTTCTTCGCCTTCGAGTGAGTACCCATTGAGTAGAGTTGTCTGACAATGATTACTTTGAATCTAGGAGAAGAACCTTCTTTCTAGGGAGTTTGTGGGTGGTGCTTGGATGGTTGTCACTGTCCTCTTGAGCAGTGTCTATAGATCATGCCAACTGAATTCATTGCTTGATACTCAGAGTAGAGTACGTGTTGCCTAAAAAGACTGAGGCCTTTGCTACTAACATTATAGCACTGATATGGGACTACCCCTGGCACAATTGGGAAATAAAGGCATTTGTCTTTATTACTCACCTCCCCTTTTCAGTGGTCTCCTTAGGTACCTAGTGATAGACTGCTTCTTCACCTCTCATAAGCCCTGGGGAACCTCTTGTGGTCATAACTCCACCCTACCATACTCATCTTTTCTGTTACTCTGGGTCCTATGTACTCAGGGATCAGCTCTCAGCTAGTTGTGAAATTGAAAAGCCAACTGAATTGGGAACCTGTAGATTGGTTCCAGCCTCAGCTATTCTGGAAACTAGCTGCGTGTGTGGCACATGTGTGCTTATTAAGTATGAGCTGCTCCTTCTTTCCCTCAAAATCGCTCAACATAAACAACTCTATTTTGTGTGTGCTTGATTACAATTTTTTATGTGATGTAATAGCCAGTAATAGAGCCACTGTTCAAAATCTGTGTAGGCCACCTTGCTAGGGAGGTGGCTAGTTGGGTTCTAGGGTACTGTCACAGCACTACTGGTTGTACTGAGAATGCTATACACTCCGAGGATGGAAGCAATGCTAACTGGTTTGGGGTTATTATGAGAAGGGCCTTAAGGAACGAAGAAGTGTGTGTAGACTGCGAACCACACATGGCTTGAACCTTCTGTAGTTCATATATGTGGGTAACTTGGAAGTGGAGCTCCTATGCTGTGGCATGGCCATGGCAGAGAGCAGAGGGCTCCTTAGCCAGCCTTTGCAGGTAGTTAAAATAACCTCTGGTCTCTTCAGGCTCATTTTTGTCCTCCTGTAAGGGCTTCAGCCTTTCCCAGTGCATCAAGAGAGATTTTTTTGAGCTGCTTTGCTAGACTTCTTGATGATTGCAGCTGGCTTGAGTAATAGCAGGGGGAGGAAGGGGACCAAGTTTATAACAGGACTAGGAGAGTAATGTCAGAAGAACTCTTTGTCAAAGGCACTTTTGCTGCTGTCGACTTTGTGAGGTATTTGGCAAAGTCAGGCAATTTGATCATGATTTCTAAACTGCTTTCCAGTCTGAGTTTCATGGCTGAGTGTATGTGCATGTGTGTATGTATTGTGTGTGGTACAAGTGAGCATGTGCAGTCAGGCAGGCATATGCATAACATCAAAAAATTTTTCCCCTCGTTTGATCCATCTCTCCAAGTTTTCTTTGCTTTATTCCTGCCTTGCTTCTTTTGGAAGTGCAGAGCTGAACTTTGCTCTCTATCATCCTTTGCATCTTTTACTTCATCCCCTGCTGAATCACTAGCTCTTTTTGCTCCCACCCTTGCCTTGGGGTTAATTTCTTTGTTATTGAAATAATTTGAAACAGAAATGAAATTTTTTTCCAGATCTTGAGAGAGCTGGTAATTCTGGGCTCAGGAAATCTCTGGTTTGACTGGCCAGGAAAACTTGGAATTTGGAGCTATTGGTGTTTGGCTCTTTTTATATCTGGAAGCCACACAGAGTCTGATTTGGATCTATACCATTTAAACTCTGAAGGCTTCTGAAGAAAACTGCCTTTGGGATGAAGCTTATAATTAGAAAAGTTACAGTTTGACAGAGGCAGGTTGAATTTTCTACCAAGATGATTTTTCCCCTAAATTATTTCTCATACTTTGCCCTCAGATATAAAGAGTGATGTTGTTTGTAAACTACCCAGAGTTCCAGCTATCTGTGTGATAAATATTTTTGAGGGTAGAGCTGGGGGAAGGAGAAGAGGGAGGAGAAGGAAGTAAATATTAGCTGAAGAGTGGAATGGGGAAGTATAACTCTGAGCAAAGGGGAGAGAACCCTGGTGAGGAATCCTTTTCACTGTGTTTGTGAATGTGTGTGTGTGTGTGTGTGTGTGTGTGTGTGATATATAGACACACAGATACTCTAGATGGTGACTGCCTTGTGCCTTGCCAATGACAGATTGTACAAAGGAAACCAGCATTCCTTTGAAGAATGGAGTTGCTTTCTGGTTGACCTTTTTGTTTCGAGTCTGTAATTTACTACCAACCATACAGTGGCAGATAGGGTATAGGGGCAGAATATAGGCTCCTTCATTAGTATCAGAAGTTAGGAAGACCTCAGGGAGTCAGCTGATCTACTCCCCTGTCTTCAGGCAGGTGATGGTGACAAAGGGCTATTTATTTTCCTCCTCTGATTGTCCAGGAGCTTAGACTCCACTTCCTCTTGCTGCTGCATTTTTGCCTTGGGGAAGAGCATCTATATTCTGAGGCACATCTGGATCTTCATTTTAGTAACAGGGTCCTTCTCACAGCAGGTGCTTAAGAGCAAGTGTGAGTTGATTTATAACTGCCCATGGCATGGTCCTGAGTTGGCCAGATGGCTTGAGAAATCTGGTCAGGGCTGTGAGTGCCCCTTGATGAAAAACATGCAGTGCTGGTAGTATCAGTGGAAATCTTTTTATTTTTGGATTTTGCCTTAACAAATTTTGTCAAAGGATGGACCTGTGATTTTCAGTGGACAGAAAGGAGGTTGAATGCATAGAATGACAAAATGTTTTCCATCCAGGAGTTAGTTAGCTCTGTATTGTCAGAAATGTTTCTAAAGAAGCTGGATGGCCATGCCACAGGGCTGCTGTCACAGAGTGGATTTTTGCCCGGGATGGGAAATTCGTCTAGATTGTCATTAAGCCTCTTGCAACTCCAAGTGTCTGAAATTCTGTATAACTCTTATGTCTGTCTGGAAGAGTCAAATACACACAAAGAAAAGGAGAGGCTAGATTACAAGTAGGTATCTGTATTTAAACATGTTTATGTATTTAAGGATAATTATTTCTATGGTAAATGTATTTGAATTTAAATGCAGAGTGAAAATTGTACAGTGCTTTAAAAAAAGGATTTCCTAATTTATTCTTAGGGTGAGATATCTAGGCAATGAGTGAGTCTGCCAGTTTCAGCTTTAAGCATGTAAACCCTTCTTAGTCCTTTCTATCCAAACACTGTCCAGCTCATATGATGAACACATAGCCACCAGCTTGGCCAGGAATGTCAGGACACTAGAGCAGAATGGCACTGACATCATATGAGCTGTCCAGCTACTGAAAGGTGATTGTGGTATTTCTGTCAAATTCCTCTTCCTGATAAAGCTTGGGGAAAGGACCAAGTGCACTGTTTTCTGGAATTGGCTTCCTAGATGCTTCTTTTAACTTTGTGATGAGATTGCTAGAGAGGTCAAGGTCCTCAGACTTCTCTTGTGGCAAGAATGACTGCATGGCTCTTTACCACTGAAGTATTGCTGCTATGCTGTATACAGAAGAAATCTTATCAAGACACTATCAAACCTCACTGGACTGATCCTCAGGGCTACTTGTGATGTACAGATGATTTATTGAATTGGATGAACTGAAAAACACTTTGTAGCACTGCTTAGTAATTGTCCTACTTCTAGCCTCTCCAAATTCTACCTCTCTTTCAAGTCCCTTCTTGAGTCTTCCTTTACGGAATCTTTTTAGTAATTTCTGCATTTGTGGGACTAATTGTATTGTACATACTACTCATTTAACACATAATCATGTAACATTTCTTTTTTTTTCTTTCTTTATTTCTTTTCTTTTCTTTTTTTTTTTTTTTTTTGCCATTTCGGACAAGTTGGTTTAATTCCAGGTGGTACACAATTCTGGAAGGAACAAAGGCTGAAGAACACACTTTGACAGGATTCTGGGCTGGGTTTACTCTGACCTCACAGTTAAGGTTGAAATGGCAGAGGGAGAAGACCTAAGGAGATGAGCCACTGCATGACTATTATTATTTATTTTTACAAAAAGTTTACGCTTAAATGTACAGCAGACTCCAAGACAGCACTTCATTCTAGTTATAGGTGGCAGGAGATGTTATGACAGGGAATCCAGATGTTAAAACAGGAATATGGAATTGAGGATCACCATTGCCCCAGGCACAAGGAACAGCTCACTTTTTGCCCGATTTCTTAATTTTACCTGTGTTCAGTGGGCCATTCCCCATGGCCTACGCTTCTAGCTCCTCAAGTTTCTTCTGCTCCTCTTTTTGCTTATGCTTGAATGCCTTATCTTTCTCATCCATCTCCTTGGCCTGCTTCTTGGGCTGCGTCAGGTACTTCTTGCCACCTTTGCAGTCAGACATGGCATCTGCCACTCCATTCCCAGACGTTATCCTGACATTTCTTATATTTCTGAATTCTATGGTTATTGCACTTGGAGCTCTTTCAATGTCAGGGACTATTTTCTATGTCTGTGTGGCCCCCACAGTGTCCTTCACCAGACCTTACATAAAGTAGGTGGTCAGTAAATGTTGCAGAATTAATACATCCTGGATGCAATTAAAATATAACAGTCTTGACTCACAACATCATAGAATAATAGAGATAGAAGGGACCTTGGAGACTATCCCCATCTTTTTGCAGGTGAGGAAACCAGGCAGGCCCACAGAAGTGAGGTTTCTTCATCAAGATCGATTAGCCTTTCATTTCATTGTTAGCTTTTGAGCATGGAATTCTGAAGATATTCAGATTACTAAAGCTGTACATAGTGCTGTATGCTTGACCAGCATATTCCGGGTTCTTGGTAGCTAGTGTTTGTTACCTAGTGACATCTAGGTTATTTGGACATCCCTAGCTCATGCTTCTGGAAAATGAAGGTTTATTTGTGAAATACTGACAGCATTCTGGCATGGTATTCTGATAGCATTGCAAGATCAGGGAAGTCCATCTTTAAGGGTGAACCTAGAAAGTAAGTTTTGTGAGTTCTGATGGGTTATCACCTCTGTGGCCATCCCTAGTCCCTGCTGCCAGGATGAGGATGGCTCAGAGAAAAA